TACCTCTCTTTATGTGTGAAAACCGCATTAAAATCCGTTGCTTGGTTAAAAGATTTAAGCGTACAATACAAAAAAGTGACTTCATTTTATATTATGTAAAGAAGTGTGGAAGTATGTCAAGTATGGATATTAAAGTATGGAATGTATGTGTAAATAATTGTATTTGTGTAGATTAATAGCTATGGTAAACTTAGTATGAAAAATTTGTACTGTACACTAATCTATCAGTAAACAAACTCACATAATTTAATTAGTGTGTATTACACAACCAGGGCCCCAATTCTGCTATTTTAATATTGTATTAATATACTGTCGATGGAATGTCGTCGGAATAGTTTTGCACTTTTCCTAGTCTACTAACTATGTAAGACCAATGGCCTTTCGATGACTTGTCACTGATACGTCGATGTCTTTGTAACAGTTTGGTAAGCGGTGCATTTTAAGTTTGTAAGGAAATGGTATATTTAATTTTCCAGATATGGCAATATTGTTAATATCACCATTGATGAGCCATTGCCACTACATCGACAGTCTATTGACACTGAATTTATATTGGTAGAATACGGATATTTTGACCATCACCAATGGCATCTCAATAACGTGTCAATGAAATTACAGTGGCTTTTCGTTAACATAAAATAGCAGAATTGAGGCCCAGGTTTCCAGTAGGCGATACCATAATGCAATATCGGTCTGCATACATTAAATACCTACTAGACGGTAATTTAGAAGTGGTTCAGCCAATACCATTACTTCTGCTATTTACATTGCGAATGCAAACATGTAAGTGTAGGTAAGCACTTCACAAATCAATTGTTTATTTGTATTAATATCTATATTGTATTAATATTTGTATTAATATAAAAAGATCGAATAGTAACAATCTATACTAGGTATAGTTTAGAGCACAAAAATTAAAAGAATAAAAAAAAGAATTCTACTTTTTGATGGGCTTTTACTAAGTAAAAATTGTCGTACTGAAAATATAAAAACTGTCGTGATGCTCTGAAAGAAGTTACGGATCATATTTTCAAGGTAATCCAAAAAAAAAAATATTTTCGAGTATGTACATATGTATTATAATAATAATAACTTCGCACATCTCACACCCGGCAGTCTGACCCCAAACTAGGCCGAGTCTGTACTAAGGTAACCAGCCTGCTGTACGTGAACTACGTAAAACGTGCTTATATTTCTAAATACATACCTACATATTATAGATAAATTACACCCAGACACAGAACAAATGACCGTGCTCATCACACAAATATTTGCCCTTGGTGGGAATCGAACCCACGACCTCCGACCCAGGGTCTTTAACCACTAGACCAACAGGACCATCAATTGTGTCGTGTATAATGTATGCAGTGTTTCTCTTATTTTTCAGCCGATTTTCTTTTAATTTATAGGTATTAACAATTACCAAAGATTTTAGTTAAAAACTTTTTGTTAAAGAAATACTTCCGACTTCCGTTTCTTATCCTCTAACCGATATTTTGTTTAACGTCATTGAAGGTGTGCGTTTCGATTGCTCCGCCCCGTTTTCGAAACAGAAAAAATGCAAAAATAATGTTATCTCTTTCAAAGTTCGAGTAGGGTAACCATCCATTTCATTTAGGAATACCTTTTGCTCTACTAGAGGCAAAGGTATAAATTCCTACCTCTTCCTTCCTCCCTCCGTATTGGACAACCGATGGGAGAAAATACCTGTGGTATTAACTCCCACTCACTGTGCGATTTTCATTTCATCAGCAGCCTATAATAGCCCACAGCTGGACAAAGGCCTCTCTTTAGAAAGGAGGTTTTGGCCTACTATACCACGCTGGCCAGACATAATTTTTATTTATGCATAAAGAATTTAATAAATAAATTCTGACGGGTCGTTTGGTCTAAATAAAACTCCAATTCATTTGAAATATGAGACATTTATTAAATCTATAGTCTTATGGTTCTATGTAGACTATTTCTATACATATAATAATTATGTAACTTACACCTACGCACTACGACTAAAATAATTATAAAATATAATTAACTTTGTAATTAGTAACTTTATTACGGTTAGATATATTTAAACCATTCACTTTTAAATTAAACTTAAAATACTAAGCTAAAATAATATTTTAATTATGTGTAATTTAATTTAATAATTTTTGTATTTGGTTCCAGAATCGATAAATATAAAATAATAGAAGCTTTAGGTACATTCGAATCTTAACTGTCAAAGACTACACACTCATAGGGACACAAAGTGGAAAAGGTACGTTTTTCTGTAAACACTGTACAGGAAATTGTAAAAAACACGCAACCCGATACAGTCTACACTACAAGTGGCACAAGAGAACATCTCATTAGGTTCTGAACAAAGATGCAGTGTAATACCTATATAATTAATAATGGCAATGTGCACACTTTGTTTAATACTTCAGTGTTGCAAGCCCTTTATTCTCTATGTTTACTACGACAACTGGATTAATTTTTCAAATATATATGTGACATTAATTTAAAAATAGAACAGGCTACCATTCATCCACATTTATTTTTTATTTAGTTAATTCGTAAAGTGCCAAAATCGCACACGTTTTAGACATGACTAGACATATACACATATATATGGGATACGTTTTTATACTACTACATTACACTAACTCTTAAATAATAATCTTATAAAATATTATTAAACCGTAAATTAATTCTCATAGAATAAATTTTAACTAAGGATTAAAAGACAATCTAAGAAATAAATCACGATAATTTTATATCCTGGGATTCAAAATTAAGGTTGGTGCAGACAGCATACAAGACGGAATTGCGACGTAAGCAAGTTGGAAAGTACTAGTTAATATGAAACTCAAAATATCTTTTTTTTATAAATTTAAATTGTTTGAAATCGTCTCTTATTGACTCGTAGAATGCAGTCATATATCAACACACACAACAACAACAACAATATCTGTTTTGTCAACAAAATAAATTTAATAAAAAATATACGTATCCAAAATCACTTGTCCGTGCCGATCTACTAGTACAACCGCAAGTTTCCAATATAGAACTTATAATATTCGCTCAGCGCTAGTATATTTCAGCTGCCAACGCCGCATGCTTGTCCTATTCGGCACGCTGTCTGACCCAACCTTTAAACTTAAGTAATTAGGATAAATTGTCATAGCAGTGGACTGAAAAGCGATTTAAAGTCAATTTAATATTTATTTAGTCCACTACACCGCTTCAATAACATTCAGTAATGACGCTATAGACATATTTGGCACTAATTAGGGCACCAAACTTTATGAAAAGGAACCTTAACACCACTTTTATAATCTGTATGTTCGCCCGCTTGAATGGCATAACCATTTTTTTTTTAGAATAAAAAGTGTCTAAATTGCAAGATTGTATTTCGTCATTATGATATAATAAATATATAATCTCTCGTTCTCCCGAGAAAATCAAAATACATTCAAATGTCGATCTTCGTATAATGATGATAAATATTATTTTACCATCTAACATACTTGTGGTATTTGTGCGTTCTTTTATGTTTTAAGATGTAGTTCCAACTCGTAATTGGCAACATCATATCTTATAACCCATATAAATATTTATAAATAAATTATTAAATGTACTTTATAATTACTTTAATACGAAATATGTATTTTATAAACTAAGAATATATTAAAGAAAACTTTATTGCACTAAAATTAAAGAAGAGATTCTAAAGAAAATATAAAATATTCTATTATTACAAATACTTAATAATAATATATTTCTAAAATTAAACATATAGTTACTTAATAATAATTCCATAATTTAAAATTAATGTAGAATGTTTATTTAAAATTAAATTTAAATTAAAAAAAGTAAAAAAATCTTACCAAATTTAACCTGTAAATACAGAATAAATATATAAAAATTAAGCTCTCAGAATAAGTTCGATAGTTACCAAAAATCCATTTAATTTTTGCCCTCGTAAATAATACCGTAGGTACTTCAATTTCGGAGTCGAAAGATTATAAGGGCCCTTATACACGGTATTCATATCGAGATCAATTTGGTCCTTCACATAGCGGTGCATGCACATGCGTTAAGTATGCTGTACAAAAACTCGCATTGATACAGTGTCAAAGTCATTAGTAGACAAGTGTCTATGAAAATGCTTGAACTTGAGTTTAAAAGGCAATCTATACTATGCGACGAAAATATATGAATAATTAATTTAAAAAATGCATCTGCAAAATAAATACATCTGATGAAAGATGTAAAAACTGTTTTCTCCATTTCTTAATTTTCACCCTTAGGGGTAGTATTTTTTTTAACCTTAAATGAAACTAAACAGATAGTATTTTCTTCCATATTAAAGAAGAATTTTCCAAATTGGTGTACATATAAATCACGGGAGTTCTGATGTAAAAAACGTAAAAAAAAAATACTACCTAACTGTGAACCATTTCCTTTACTTAAGTCGGTTCAAAGTATATGTATGCAGACAATATAGTAAATAGACAATGCCAATTTCATTTAAACAATTCTACTATTACGTTTTTTTACTTGGTAAAGGTTACCTTTCAAACATCGATATGTTCAAAAAAGCCAAATCTTTAAAACCATAATAAATAAATGCTTTAATGAGCCCAGCTTACAACCAATAGTCTAGTTTAGTCTCACAGAAGTCTTTAGTCCTTACTAGCTTCAAAAACGGGACTAAATTGCGGTAATATCTTATAAGATATACGACCAATTTACCATTTCCCGACGTTACAACGTCTCGGTCCCTTACCCTTTAAATTATAACATTTAAATTATCGTAATTCAGTACAAAGTTACTCCTATTAGTATAAGTAGTAACACATCTGTATTAATAAGGTTCAAAATCATTTGTAACCACACACACAACTAATACTTTATATCATTTAGTACATATTTTCTTACCGATTTTCTTTACAAACCATGGTGATCCCTGTCTCCAACCAATTTCCCGACGTTACATACATACTTACAATAATTTACAGGAGTTTAACAACAATCCTGAAGCCTTCTACTACCATCCCGTTATAGTTTTCTGATAACATGTTTAAGAAATATTATTATGAGTTAAAGTATAATAAACAATATAATTATAATAACATGAGACGAGCCTGTTGGTCTAGTGGTTGGTGACCCTGACTGCTAAGCCGGAGGTCGTGGGATTGATTCCCACCCAGGACAAATATTTGTGTGATGAGCACGGTCGTTTGTTCTGTGTCTGGGTGTAATTTATCTATAATATGTTTGTATTTAGAAATATATAAGTATGTTTATCAGCAGTCTGGTTACCATAGCACAGGCTCTGCCTAGCTTGGGATCAGACAACCGTTTGTAAAATGTGTGAGGTTGTTATTATTATTATTATGAAAAGGACAACACAGATAACTAATCGAAATAGGGTGTTTTTATGATACCAGGATGAAACAGTCTGGTCCCGTGTTAGTAAGTAACTGACATCGTCCATGGAAAGCTGCAAATCAAGAGTCACAAACGCGTTACTGCCCTTTGAATTAGGAAGGTTAAACTCACTCACCATTTTATTTTAGTGGGGATATCACCTCGGATACCACCCACCGGACCAGCCGGTGGAGCGGTTATGTCGAACTGACTAAAAACCGCAAGCCGTCTCGAGTACCAGTAGCCTCGGAATCAGGGGAATGCCCTGGGAGTAAAATCTAACTTTGTACAAATTTTGTATTAAGTTTCAGATAATAAACAATATTTTGAATAAAAACACCCGAGACCCGTTCGCGTATTCATATTCACGCATAACAGTATTTGCACTGGACGAAAATCGAATCGCAGGAACCAATGCAACAATAAATAAAATTTGCAAAATCTTTATTTAAAAAAAAAAGATTTTAACCAACTACCCACGCTGTGGTTAAATAGTTTCAAAATGTATTTGAGCTTAAAATTATAATAATAGCTGGACAAAAGGGAGGACTAGGGTGCCTCACAAAGGGCCCCGACTAGCTCAAGGACACGTGAAATATAGCCTCAGGGTGGAAGGGATCGGAACTTACAAGTGCGGTAATAATTAGCTCGATACAAAGGGAAACTGCGCTTAGAATATTTAATAGAAGGGCCTTAGGTATGTACACATATAGGCATAAGAAAACACTGTGTATTTGTTTTAAGCCGACTTCAAAGAAAGCACCAGGTTCTCAATACGGTTGAATGAGTAAAAACAAAAATTGTGTGATTAAAAAACATCGACTAAGGGATCAAACTATGCGAACAACAGAACTGAAAAGAGAAGACAACTTCACACAAACCCTATGGACTATTAAAGGCTGTTAATATTTATATATTTATTTGAAGGAAAACCAACAGCTTTAACATTGAGATAGTGACAATAATATAAGACATTTAGCCAATTAAAGGTCTTCACAGATAAGCACTATTTTACATAATTTCGTGCGGCCAATGTATGTATCATATTAATTACACATATGCTATCACTCAATTACAAGAAAGGGAGAAAGAAATCTTGGCTTAGCACCCGACGTACTGTAGTTATTTTAGTGTTGAAAATATCAATGTCATGTGACTCGCAGATGTTATTTAAGGTCTTGCTAGCTCGCCAAAGAAACGTATTCCGTCGATAATTTGATGATGCATTGGTAAGGTGAATAGGTGCGTGATGTCTCATGTTCCTTACCGGTGCCTCAAACCCAATTTGCCCAAGAAGTTCGGGGCAATCAACCTCATTATTTAATATTTTAAGTAAATAGACAACGTCTGCTAATGACGGTAAAGAAAAAATATTTTATTGTAAATAATTATGGGGTGCGTTTTAAAATATTTTATAATATGACTACTGACTACTTTTACCAAAATCTGTTAATACAATAGTACAACAATTGACATCCATTTTTTTTTAAGTTATAGAAAATAATTTTCTAACTTTTAGTTCAGCTATTTATAAAAGCAGGTTTTTTCAAACTATTATTTGTTTGTTACCTCAGGACTCGAAGTGACAGGCACATACGATTTTAAAAATTCTTCTTTCATTTGGGATAGTATACTTCCCATTTGGTCCGATAATTTATTTTGAAGAGAAAACACCACTCGTTTTGACGAGTCCAGATCAGAGTAACGCTGGTCTGATAATGAAGCCCTTCTTGTTCTTACTTTTTAATTTGATTTCCCATTACATGGTGTTTCTTGTTGTTTTACTTAAACTAAGATTATTTCCCATTAGCAGCTTGAATGGGTGTGTTTTTAACCGTAATACGCCGTGGGAAATAATTGATACTTTTAAATCATATTCATTTGATGAAATGATTAGTTTTATTTACAGCGCTTTTACATGTGATTGTGACTTCGTCATAGACAAACACAAATGCCATTGAAATCAAAATCAAAGATTACGACCTTTTTTTTATATTTTAATCTTTCGCAAGTGTTGCGCTGGCATAATAATAATAATAAGTCACGATGGTTTTGTAAATCAGTCACAGGTATATTATATGATTCATATATCATATGATTTATCATATGTGATTCCGATTTTATTCCATTCCTAGTGTTACGCAATTCTTTCTTTGCTTTTCACCGTGTGAGTGAGGTTATCAGAAGTACCACAACCACCCCCGAATATTCTTTGGGGACAGTAGGGAGAGTAGTCAAAAGGCGGCAACTCAATCGTGTCTGTTCAGTTGCAGATGTAGATAGTCACTTGCCATCAGGCGACCTATCTCCTTGTTTGCCCCCTATACTGTAAAAAATTATAACCTTACTGTATATATTTTAATAAAAAGGATACGGAAACATCTTTCTGCGTGTGCAGGATGACTGAAAGAAGCGATGGCGCAGCCAGGTGTGGTGAATCTTAAACACGTAATTTGTCCACACTGTGCCAGCTTCTCGCAAAGGAACGGGAACGTTGTAGAAGGTGGCAACTGAAATAGGGTACATTATCATTATCTGCAACAGTATGATGCAGAAGTAGCTTAGAAGTAGTCGCTGCTATAAACATTTATCATCTACCGACGACCATTTACCTGTAAACAGGAACTTTCTTATTCAGAAGATATATTCTCGTAATAAAAATAAGTTCAAAATTCCCTTCAAATCTACTCTCGATCTCACAAATATCATAAAACGAATTCTCGAAGTCAAAAATTACTAAGACTTCAACTTTCAGTCACCAATCAAATTACAGTCAACGTTGAATGTTTATTCAACGTTGAATGACTGCACGGATGGCGTAGTGGTATAAGCGGTCGCCACGCCGCTTCCTACTACGCCCAGTGTTGTGGGTTCAAACCCCACATGGGACGACACTTTGTGTGATCCACAAATTGTTGTTCTGAGTCTGGGTGTTCTTTGTGTCCGTTTCATATATGTTTGTAAAGTCCCCCGCGACACAGGATTTATTCCTAATGCGGTTGTCTATTAAAAAACAAAAAAAAAAAACTTTATTACGAGAATATCTTTTATGATATTTGTGAGATCGAGAGTAGATCTGAAGTGAATTTTGAACTAATTTTTATTACGAGAATGGACCTTCAGGTTTCAAGATATCATAGCAGATATAACTGAGACGATCCGACTAAAATGAGATAGTATAAGACTTACTGTGCAAGAGAGGAGACTGTCCTACCCGGCACGTTTCAAATTTTCTTTAGTTATCTGGTCAAGTGGTCAACTAACACAAGCATACCGCTTGGTCAGATTCTAGGTAAGGCTGATCCATTCGTTTACCCCAAGCGTTCTGGATAACTTTTTTAAAGCGCTTATTTCCTATCATAGTCAAGGTAATTTTTCGAAGGCAATCATGGATTGTGGATCTCTTTCTGGGGACCCTTTGACGGCTTTACAGATATTTTTTATTAAATACTCTTTACCTAACAATTTGTAACGTACCGCTCTCTCTCTCTCTCTGTTTACCTAAAATAAAGACAGACATTTAAAAATATAAAAGAAATACTTACATTTGCAAACTCTACGTCCACTTTATTTGGTGCATGTACTGTAGGAACAGCTCCAGTCACAGATACAGGACCAGACACCTGCACGGGTCCAGGTCCTTGATTGGGGCCAAGACCATGGGCAAGGTTGGATGGACCTTGATTAGGGCCACGACCAGGTGCAAGGTTTGATGGTCCTGGATTAGGGCCAGGTCCATGTGCAAGGTTCGATGGTCCTGGATTAAGGTCAGGTGCATGTGCAAGGTTTGATGGTCCTGGATTAGGGCCAGGTCCATGTGCTAGATGGGATGGCCCTTGATTAGGGCCAGGTCCATGTGAAAGGTTGGATGGTCCGGGATTAGGGCCAGGTCCATGTGTAAGGTTGAATGGCCCTTGATGAAAGTTGGATGGACCTTGAATAGGACCACGACCAGGTGCAAGGTTTGATGGTCCGGGATTAGGACCAGGTCCATGTCCAATGTGGGACGGTCCTTGATTAGGACCAGGTCCATGTGCAAGGTTGGATGGACCTTGATTAGAGCCACGACCAGGTGCAAGGCTTGATGGTCCTGGACTAGGGCCAGGTGCAAGTGCAAGGTTGGATGGTCCTTGATTAGGGCCCGGTCCATGTGCAAGGTTGGATGGTCCTGGATTAGGGCCAGGTCCATGTGCAAGGTTTGATAAATGAACAGGACCTGGTCCGGTAATCGGTCTTGGTCCATGCATGGGACCAGGCCTGTGACCTATTCCTAATGGAGGCCCTGGAAGCACACCCGGTGAATACATTGAGGTCAGTCCATAAACTGGACCTGGATTATTAACCGGAGTAGGTCCTGTAGGCGATAGAGGCTTACAAGGTTGGGAAAGACCAAAAGGTCCTGGAGTTGGAGGATTACCAATAGGATTTGGCATCGGATGTGGTACAGAAATGGGCCTAGCGTTAGGCGTAGAGTTATCTGAAATGGGCCTTGGATACTGGCTGCTAGACATTAGGACTGGTGTGGTGGATGAACCAGGTCTATAGGGTGTTGAATGTAAAGGTTGGGTGCGGAGATTTTGAGCTACAATTGGACGGGGAAAGCCTACGGCTGGAGTTGTTTGTCTCACTCTTATTGGAGTTGTATTGCCTAGTACATCAGGTTGGGCACGACTGACAGGATGCGAATAATTTTGAGGTTTATCATTTGATTTATCAACTTTTACTTCGTCTTTTACTTCGTGGTATGAAACTGGAGAGTCTGACGACCTGATACTACCAGTTTCTGGACTAATATTTTCTTTTACTAAAACTTTTTCTGATGGTACGGCATCAGCATTGTCTAAGTCCTCAACATGTGTCACTTCAAAAGGCCTTTTAGAGTCCAATAATGCTTTAAAGTCTATTTGGCTTTCTTCCTGCTTTTGTATTCCTTCTTTACTATCTCCAGAAACAAACTCACGGAACAAAACCGGGTTTACTGTTGAAGTTTGTTTTCTAGTAAATTTTTTATACTGGCTTACGATGTCTCTTATTGGTCTTCCTGCTATTCCTAAACCAATTCCAATGTTGACAAGCCCTTTGGGTAAAATAATATCGTTTCTGGGATTTCTTTCCATATAAACGCTAAGCTTCCATCCATAAAGAGTTTGGCCGTTCAGCATTGCCACTGCCTGAAATTTAATTTAATAAAATAAAACTTGCAAACATCTACAAATCTTTTTTTTTGGTAACGTGGTAGAAAATCCCTCCGGATCGCCAGCTCCTAGGGGATACAGTAGCCAATCCGATTAAAAACCCCGCCTCATGGGCCCCACTCTGGGGAGGACCTGGACCATGCGATTTCAGGTCCCCCAAGATTGACGTCGCACCTAACTAGACCCTATCCCAAAGGAAGCCAGAGCCATCATACCTAAATTGTTAAGAAAGAAATCGTGGATATCATACAACAGCTATGGATATTTCTGGAAATATCGGGGTCTGAAACATTTAAATGCACACGTCTAAAATCTACATCAAAATGGAAGTCAAATCAAAACGCGAAATATCGTCGTTTATTGAGGTGAATCGATTGCTCATTAACCCTTTACAGCGGCCGTGGTTAAAGAGCAACTAGCTTACTAGTTGCGTCAATTTTTTTTTAAACTTGCCATAGTAGTGTCCATACTTTTTTTTACACCACGATCACTGAAAGTAGAGTGAAAGTAAAAATCTTTTACAATTTTAGGGAAAAAAAATATTTGGAATATGTTTTTGCAAGAACTACAGCATTCTGGGATTTTTAAGAATTGTGATGGACTATTCAAGTTGCCGAGACAAAAAAAAAGAATTATTTTAAAAACTGTAATTCACATTTAACTACTTTTTTTTCCGTTGAATTTAGGGACATCCTAATTATTGCAAAATATGTGCTCATACTTATAAAATACTTTTATATAATTTTTTTGTAAGTAAATTGGTGCACCATTATAGTAAGAAGTAAGAAAATAAATTAAATTGTACTATAATTTTTTTTTTTAAATGCTTAGTGTACAATTAATCTAAAAAAAATTGAGACAATGTGCAACACAACTGTGGTCTCATTGATAAATTGCCAGAAATAATCCTGAGTTGATTTAATTAACTAATCTAAATTTGTAATAGCAAGCTACAGCTACGGGAATAGCTTTGGATGAAAGCAAAAAAGTTTCCACAAAGCTTTTTTTTTTAAATGTTAATGTGTTAAAAAATGACAAATGATTTACTCATACCGATAAGTTATTAATTAGAAGTCTTATTTTAATTTTGCTTGCATCGGCTTAAAAAGTTAATAGCGACGATTTTTTCTAAAAATGTAGTGAATTCAAATTTTATTTTTATATTCAAGTGTATACATATACAGGGTTACTGGGTAAGTCGACCCAAATACTTTATGGCCAATACAAGACATGATGGCCAATACGACCCGTTGGCCATCATGTCTGATAGATTTCACTACGAAATACCATATCCTAAAAATAATCATGTTCAAGATATTGGACTTTAAGATTATTTATAAAAATCGCCGCAATTTTGCCTAATAATTTTTTTTAGAACTTATCTATCCTTTTTTTACTGTTTTTGTGTAGTTGATAAATTGTTTAATTGATAACTATTTGCAATTACTAAAATTGTAGGTAACTTAATTGGGCCAACGTAGATGCTTAATAATAGGAAAACTAAATAAAGGACAATGGCAGGTCCCCATACATAATTTTATTTGAAGTGAAATGACAGCGTTTAAATATCAAAAATGCCTATAACCCTTGAGAATTTATTCTTGAACATTCTCATAAAAAAATTACTAGCGAAAGAAGTCTAGGAAAAAAGATATTGGATTTTGAATGTTTCGAGGTTAAGTACTAAAATATGGTAAATGTTTTGTTTGAAACTAGATGGCGTTGTGTGTCATATATTCGAAAATATTATTCTTCATTATTATTACTTATAAGCAACCCTATTCTGCTGTAGAAAGTGTTCGACTCTCTAAATGGGTGAAGGAAGGAAGGGTATTTGCTTGGCATGTATTGGTAAACAATAGAAAAAAAAACTTCGCTTACATAGCAAGTGTAATACTAGCCATGAATACATAAATTATTAATAATCATTTGAATAAATGTACTTCAATACACATTTACACAAGGCGGGAGCATTTATTTTGTTATTTAGTTATTCAACAGTCAGTAGTTGTGACATTATTTACTAAAATCTAAAGCATGCATCCATTATATTGATATTAGTGCACAACATTTTAAGGCATCACATCATGCATAATGGAGTAACACTATATAAAATTAAAATAAACATATGTGAGAGTTTAATACTAAACAAAAGTAAAACAACCAAATAAACTACAATTGCCTTGTGAGAAATGGTATGTAAGTCATGCGTGTAAGTGTCAAACGACAAGACTATTAGTCCGTCAACGTCGTGCGCCACCGTCCTGCGGGGTGACAGACGGTGGCGGGGACGAGGTACTCACGATGTCAGCGGGTAGCGGGTGGTGTAGCGGTGTGTAGCCTTGTGCTAGAATGACGCGCTACCTCGCCCCCGCCACTGTCTGTCACCCCGCGGGACGGTCGCGCACGAGATTGCCGGGTTATAGTAAGTGCGACGACGACGTATCGACATTTTAAAAATATCGATGCATGTCTATTTATATGCCGTTATCAACCTACAATGTATTTTTCTCATCACACTAAGCAGTATATTGTTTTAGTATTTTTCTGTAGGAAAATAACGTAACTATATTCTATTTATTTTGGTGTAGCAAAAATCTTTTAAAAAGAGTCAAAAATATTCTAAATTGTTTCTAATTAGGTTGATTTAGTCACTACAGTACTAGTTACGGTAGCGTATGAGTAAACCCGTAGGCAGAAGCAAATTCATAATCATAATAGGTGAACCTTCGATAGATATTTAAGCCAAAGTTATAACAATCGCTTATCGATAAAACGTTCCATAATTTAATAATATCATCACGCATCCCTAGTCAGTTCATGATGGCGATTCTGACATTACGTACTTAGGTCAAATAAAATCTTTAAAATATCCAGTCTCTTATTAGACTTATACAACACATGGCGGTATAATGATAAATCATAGAAAAAATATTTAGTAAGTTTACTGTTAGTCAATTTTTTAAACGCTTCAGTTTTAGGTAAATATGTTTCTGCCATTGTTCTTTGTACAATTTTTTTTCTTTGACAAATATTATGAAAAATCTATGACAGTTAAACTCCAGATTTTTAAAAACATGTACGTATTCTCAGCTATATAATAAGGTATAATAGTCTAAGGATAGTATTAGAATTCATAAAAAAAAACTTAGATGAAAGACCGGGGAGTTTAAGAATTAGCGTACAACCCTTGGTAGTATCTAGTTTCAACTAGAAAAACTTGGCTTGTATTTTTGGACTGTTTCGTTTTCAATTTGTGACTAACTATTGCTAAGTGGACTTTGATTCGTGCTTCTGATATTGTTGAAGATGATGACCTATACAAACGAGGAATATGTTCATATCTGGATTTCTTACAAATATTCCCAATGCGTATCCGCACGAGCCACCCAACCACCTCTTCCAATCCACTTATTCCGATAACGTGACGATCCAGATCTAAACTATGGATTTATGATTTATTTTTTAATTGATTCTAAGGTCTTTTGTGCATTTAATAAACATAAAAAAGCAATGGTTAATATAAAGGATACTATAATGAAGTAAAAGCTGTACTTCGACAGCGATTCCGATGTCTAACCTCAGAGATATAGGTCAGCTCGAAACTCAAATACCACTCAACCATACCGTATCCCCGTAAAGGTTTCTATGACAAAGAACATACCTGAACAGCTTCCAATGGATGACTGTACTGAACCTTGGCGTACCTCTTGGTTGTAGCAATGACAGAACATGAGAGTACATGTCCAGCCAATTCCATTACGTCTCTAAGTTCAGTCTTATCGCATCGAAACTGTTGACGAAATAATGTATTAATAAGATATGATCAGAAGAGTTGGTAAAGTTCCTGAATCTCTGTTGTAATAGGGAATGTTGACCTCTCACTTAGGCGAGAAAACCTGCTACCAACGTCATGATAATTACAGCAGACAGGTTGAACTGACACCAGAAGCAGCAACGCCTCCTGCAGAATAATAGTTGCCAAAATACACGAGAATGTCTCCTCTTCTCGAGGTGAGACGTGACCAGGAAAGTGTATACCAGGTCAAGTATTCAGAATGTGCCCCTGATGCCAGATTTAATTAATAATACTATTGGTAAGTAAATTACTCATTGACTTTACTATGTAATAATGGATGGCTCGACCGGCCCTCTGGCTTGTGAGGTTCATCATCATCATCAACAGCCTTAAATAGTCCACTTCTGGACATAGGCCTATCCCTAGAAAGGAGGGTTTGGCCTTTAGGTTACAGGAGACCAACTAACCTCCCCCCTCTCACTTTGATGCCGGGGGAAGGAGGGGGGAGCTCGACTTGTGTCTCTTGAGTTGCAGATGTCAATGGGCGGCGGTAGTTGTTTTCTCTTAGACTAATAGAGCCATGAATATTATTTTTTATGGAATATGATTCCAAAACCAAAATGTAGACCATATTATGACAAATACTACACTACATACTAGCCTATGTTACGCGCTGATAATGTACCACTGATAAAGTAATGTTTAAAATTTAGGTTAAGTGGTTTAGACGTGGAAGCGTAAAAAACAAACAAACTCACTTTCCCATTTATGAGTATGAATATCTATGTGAAGTATTTTCATCATCAAAAACATACTTACATTAGTAACATGCACCCATCTATCTAAAGGCGGTGTGATCTCCAATGACTGAAGAAATTCTAATTGTAGTCCATACAATCCAAGCGGATCTTTGTATTCTACGTCCTCATTTGAATTCCACGAGCTATGAAGAACACCATTTCATTATTATTAGTAAGTAATCTAACTAAATACGATATGTCCATAATCATCAATATATTTTAAAGGAGATAATGATAATAAAAAAGTACCAAAAATGAAAATAAAAACATAACAAACAGATGAAGATGATTCTTCGCAGATGACAATATTTAGTTTACATAGTAACAGTCGAACACTACGCCAATTACGAAGTACACAATGAATTAAAGGTAAATACACAACATGAGTAAACATTCTAGATGAATAAATCTTAAGCATAGCTACACAAATAGTAAGAATGTAGTTTGTATGTGTGTGTAAGTGAATGTGCTGAATGGTGTTTGTGTAGCGTGTGTGAGATGTTTATAGTGTGACGGATCTACAATTTTTTCGAACCGGGACAGAATCTCAAAATTAGCTCCCCCTCTCTCCAGCGTTTGAGATAAGTAACTTAAAAAACTCACAAACATAAAATTGATTGGGACATAACAATTTGTTGTTTTATTTTTGTTATTATATTATGATTTTGGCACCCCATGAAACTGCCGGCCAGGGCGGTGAACCCCAAAGATCCGGGGCTGGATGGTATACAGTCGAATTTAGTCCCAGGGCTTTTATCTTCTGCTAGCTGAACCGCAGCAACTACGTCTCCCTCTCTCAAAATGAATAAGTTTTCCCATTTTTGTAACATTTCTCATTGATGTTCGTCACCTTTTTGTCTTAGCGTGATGTTATAAAGCCTATAGCTCGATAAATAGGATAACCAGTACTTGCTGAGATTAGTGCGTTTGTTTGTTTACAAAGTCTTCAGCATTATCATGTTAAGATAAATACACTACAAAAACCTTTCACGCATAGATAGCTTTCCTTTTATTGTGTTTAATTGAGTATCTCACCTTTGTTGAAGAACTTCAGTTGAATCTGACCCATTGTCTGTTAGATCGGCATCTGGTTCTGCAGAGAAACATTATGGTTAATATAAAAAAAAAAACATACATTCGCTTTCGCATGAAACGATAATTTCTTGGAACGTGATTGGTGGGCTTGGTCGATGCGTCACTATTTTCTTAACGTGAATGGGCCATAGAGACATTCAAAATTGTTTTATTTATAACTATTTGGCTACCGAACTTGCACAAAATAACAATTTTGTTCGATACTTTATAATTTACAGAACTTTTAACTCTCCTTAGCAAGGAGGTTTTGGCCTGCAGGCCAGACGGGTTGATATAGTTTTCTTTCTGTTAGCAGTGGTGTTGTCCTGCGTAGTTTGCTCCCTTAGTCGGCTCTTGCGACACCCATGGGATAAATTGGTGTAGTGACAGTCCGTATGCCTCATCCGTCACCATATGAACCACATACTTAGTCACAGATAAATTTTGTTCATTTAAAAAACCTTATCATTACAGGGTAGAGTACAAAAAGACCGGCGAAAGAAGTGAAAACAATACCATATTTAACTACCATACCATATATAACTACGAGAGTTAAGTAATCTAATGTCACCTTTTCGAATTTCGTGAAAATATATAGGTACTTAAAGAACAATGGCGAATTTGTAGTTGAGTATAATTTGAGCGTCTTAAAATATCATTCATAGGAAACTAATTCTAGTAAATATCTAGGTTTTTTGAAATTATTGTTTAAATCAGGAAAATAAAGAAAAATATCATAAGCTTATTCGATTATTTTAATTTCCTTTATCAGTTTAGTGTTACCATTTTACAGCCGTTTTTCAAGTGGTGGAAATACTGTTCAATAAAGTATCGTAATATGGTAATCACTTAATAGTAATATGGTAATCAGATAATAGTTTTATAATTCTAGGTACTGAATAAAAAAAGAATGTAGTTTGTGGTGCATTATTTACGTATTTGAAAATTCTGTAGTGGAATATAAGTAAAAAAAAACAAAATGTGGCAAATGCAAGGTAAAAAAAAGCAAAGGTTTTTTGACAACTATTGACAGACGTTTGCGCTCTGTCTTTAAATATAAAGAGTAAACCTCAGAAGGCGGCAAATGGCTGCCGCCGATTATATTAGTTTAGGTTTAGAATTTACAATTCATTACAGGTTGAAATAGGTAATTCATTAAGGAAAAATATTATACTTATTGGATATTATATATGCAGATGTGCATAAGTATAAGATGATTATTTCATGCATCAGACACATTTAAATAAAACCTACGAAAGTTCTACAGCTAGTGGGCTATAATATTTCTTTATTATCTTCTTTTATTTTATTTAAATGTTATAATAATTAAATATTTATGTTGAGCAATACAAAAACCAATTTGTAAAGTCGATAGCCATAGATAAATTGATAAAATAAAGAAAACATTATGCAGCTATATAATAAAAAACTCTGGGGACTCTTTTAAAAAGAGTCCGCAAATAAAAAAAACTGCGGTGCGTAACTAAAAAACACAAACACTAATATCTTTTGTCCTAGCCTTTCCAAAACAAAAATTATTTTACACATAGATTCTAAAAAAATTGACGAATTTTTTTATATTTTTTTCACTACAAGACGATGCAATTTGATTCCAAAAAAATTTATTTCTTTACAAACTGGTGATTTTAATTAAAATTTTCACACTCACTCACAATTAAGATGAACCTAACGCCAATCCAAAATCCATCAAACCATATAGACAAAAGTATACATAAAAAAAAAGTATATAAGTATTCTATCAGTCAATCTAGCTATCATAGTACAAGCTCTGCTTGGTTTGGAACTAGATGGCGTTGTGTCAGATGTCCGAAAATATTATTATACATACACTCGAAAACATAAACCTCTATGTAACCTCAGATCAAAGAATGAAGAGAAGATCAAAGAATGAAGAGAAGATCAAAGAATGAAGAGAAAATCAAAGAATGAAGAGAAGATCAAAGAATGAAGAGAATATCAAAGAATGAAGAGAAGATAAAATAAGAAGATATAGGCGTAGTTCCCTCTTCAGAGATAATATAGGTGATAACACTTATTATTTTTAATAAAGTTAAATTATACTTGCTAGGTGACTTAAGACTAAGTTTGCTCTCGCTCGTTGGTTCTTTTTTTAGCTTGTTGGTTACTTTGAGATAATCTTCTAACTTCTCAAACTTCATCTGCACTTCATTAGATTCATCCCTTTTTACAACCACATCTCCTAACAGTTCACCCTAAAACAAAATTTTAAATAAGAAAATAGGTGCGAAAATATGGATTTGTATAACGGAATCACCATATATACAGATACTAGCTGACCCTGCAAACGTTGCCATATTAAAAAACTGGAAGGCGGGGGTAGGAGGGTGAAAAATACTTTACCACCTATTTGTTCTATTACAAACATCGTGACACGAGATATTAATATATCAGATTGATGAAGTAATGTTTAGGTTACCTACTTACTACTTCAAATTACTTTATAGTCGTTGGGTCTAGTCTTGTTTATTTAAATTAGGCATTTTGTTATTTTCAACACAAACATTGAAAAAAAAAATATCCAAGTAAATCTAACTTATTTTATTGAAGCCTTGGTAGAATAATTCTCAATGGGTCAAAGTTGTGATCAAAACACACCCAGTGCACTACCGTTGTGAACCCACTCCTAACACACAGGGCCTCAATTCTGTTATTTTATGTTAACATACAAGTCACTGTCATTCCATTGACACACTATTGAGATGCCATTAACGTCAGTCATAATATAAATTCACAATGTCAATAGACTGTCGCTGTAGTGTCAATTGCTGAAAAATAAACAGCAATGGCATATCTGGAAAATTAAATATATAATATATAATTTCTTTACAAATTTAAAATGTAGAGTTTACGAAACTATTACAAAGACATTGACGACATTTGTATCAGTGTAAAGTCATTGGTGTTACATAGTAGAATATGAAAAGTGCAAAACTATGTGACAACAGTCCATCCACAGTCTATTGACACAATATTAAAATAGCAGAATTGAGACCCAGTGGTTAAAAAGAATGCTATCAATATGTGAAATGCAATGTATTTCATAGTATTTTTATAAAAAGTATAGTGTGAATGTAATAGAAAAACTATCTAACATCATACTTCACATATGGGTCTGGGTCTGCCGGAATGATAGCAATACCTCACAGGAAACTCTAGGAGACAAGTGTTTGCTTTGCACAGAGTGACTAAAGTTACAGGAGATCCAAACCTCCCTCCCCTCTATTCTGAGGGGAGCACACAAAAAGTGGCAACCTCCTAGAACATAAAAAAATAGACTTGTTTTTTTTAATTTAATTAATAAGGCAGTTTCGAACCTTATTTCATTTTTTCATGATTTAAAATAAATTATTAAGGGACAGCATTAAAAGTATAGTTTAAAATTCAATATTATCAAACAAACTTGTACAAATATATTTTAACTCTTACCATTCGAAAGACTCCTGATGCAGACCAGCTTCCCACATGTATAGTATGTCTCATAGATAATTTTCTATTTGTTTTTTTTAAATAAAAAATCTTGTGTATGTAACACCATACATATTTATGTAAAGAAAATTCTTTATACCCTTTTTAATCAAATATAGCACACAGTTACATTAAACATTCCGAATACTTAATATTGGTATGTAGAAGAGTTGCAGAAAGCTAAAAATTTTGAACTATATGTGCCCTTAAGTTAAAAATGGTTACTGTCAAATAATCATAGCAGTCTAATATATATTTGAACTATAATGGTACAGGAGTCTATACAATTACTGCTGGTCGTCGTTCAGTTGATCTCTAGTGTCATTGATATTATAGTTTTGTTTGGCTAGGGAACTTCGCTTTGCTACACAAATTCAAAACATCTCCAATCGCTACGCTTTTCTTATAACTAAAACAAATTTGCCCAAAAGTTAGCACAAAGAACAAATGACAAAAGAACTATAATTTAGGTAATGGAACCTACCTCTTCAATGTAGTTTTTAATCTGAAAATTGTTCTCGTCATCTACTAATGTTATAGTGTATTCTTCTGTGTCAGTACTACTGTCATCAATTGCTTCATATAAATTCTCACAAAGCTTTTTAGTAACTGGTTCTTGTGGAGGAGAATTTTTTCTCTTCTGTGGATTATCTCGAAGCTGATTTACATATGGCTGTGCTACTGAACCATTATTTAACGGAGGCCTTGGTGGGGAGGTAGCAGGTAACACAATGTCTGCTAACTCAACTCTTATTGGCATAAAGACCTGGTCAGTATTTGAGTCTTTATCAACCAGATCGTCCGTTGAATCGGCATTTACATGAAGTTTTTCCATTTTTCAATTTCATTAGATAACGACAGATCATAAAATTATCTAATTAAAAAATAAAATAGAAACATATAGCACGCAGATATTCTTTCTATGCGCATGACGCTGGTTATAACTGCTCTAATAGTAATTGAACACTGTTACCATTTGCAGGTAAAACAGTTTTCTACCTATAAAATATAGGTAAGTTCACATCATTTTCATTGATTGGGGAAAATAGCGCCGGAAAAGCAATACATAAACATAGACTTATTTGGCATATTTGAAGTTTTAAACAGAACAGAATAAATACATTAGACTAGAAGTGTTGCCATAAATTGATTTTTGGATTCATCTAACTGACCTGACTCCTTTCAAAATACTCGTAAAATTCTTAGTTTTTATTCCTCACATAATTGCGTCTACATGATACAATTTAACTTCTTACTTACGCGTCGGAAACATACTCACGTGCCGTGTCGCGCCAGAAACATATCGATTTCATACGTTTAGTACGGTTAGAGACATAATTGTACTACGTCTCGTGATGCATTCTAGTGACAACAACTTCTAGGTGAAAAGAAAATTGTCAAATATACTCAAAGTATTTAAAACGTCTCTATTTCTTTTTTATTGACAAGCTTTATAGCTGATGTAGCATCATCTTAACCATCAATGACACGCATTTTTTATTTAGATGCCAACCCTCTCGAGATTAAGCACATTTATGCCAATTTCCTCTGGATAAGTATATGACAGATTTTTTCAGATTCCCTTTCACGCAGGGGTGCAATTTAAAATTAATTAACACATGCCAACCTACGAATTCGAAATTAATTAAGGAACATTACACGAAATCTTATTAGGTACTTAATCCAGGAAGCTCTTTTCGTTCTAATCCCTGGTGATATTTTCAATTAAAAATTTAAACTTTACTAAATTATTTTCTACAGCCAGAAGATTCGTGTTGAATTGAGTGTTTCATGTTTGTAATAAAACAATGTGTTTTAATTTTGCATTAAAATGCTAAATTGATTTTAGTATAACTGTGATATGTGATAGTGAAAGCAATAATAACGTTCTTTTTAATTAATTTTACTATTCCGGACGGATTGCGTAGTGGCTTAAGCGGTTGCCACGCCGCTTCCTGCTACACTGGGTGTTGTGGGTTCGATCCCCACATGGGACGACACCGTGTGACTGACAAATTGTTGTTCTGAGTCTGGGTGTTCTTTGTTTCCGTTTCATAAAGTAAAGTCCTCCGCGAAACAGGATATATTCCATACAGGAGTTATCTTCAAAAAAAAAAAAATTCACACATAAGTGGACAAGCCTATCACCGTCAACCGGGCACATATATTAAAATAAATATACATCTAAATTTTAATACTATGTACTCGTACTACACATACTGCATGTTTCTAAATAATAATGATATTAGTCTACTACGAATAAATTACATCTAGACAGAGAACAAATGATCGTACTCATCACACAATATTTGTTCTAGGTTTGGATCGAACCTACGACCTCTGGCTCAGTAGTCAGGATCACTAACCACTAGGCAAACAGAAGACCAAGTGCGAGTTTATTTCACTTTTACTCGATCTTCACTTTGACCGCGTTCGACGCTTCGATTGGCTTGCACTGAAATCTCCACCAATCACAACGCTAAACGCTCTAGCCATCAAGAGGGAGTTGGTCTGAAATAAACTTGCACTAAACCCTTAGGTCAGTCTTAAAAAATATGTGTATCAACTTACTCAAACTTATTTATCATTTCAACGGAGGATTTAAGCGCCGTATCGTGTTAACCGCACCATCCCATTATACCACCATATCCACCACACATATCCACCCAAACATTATATTAGATACGAAAGTGACTTTGTTCGTTTGTTACACTTTCACCTCTTAACTTTTCATGTTATCATCATGTAATTTTCTATGAATATTCGTTACTTATTGTTTGTATTATTCGTATAAAGCCGAAACGCAACCTAAATAACGTGCAATAGGAGAGGTTTATGTCCAGCAGTGGACTACGATAGGCTGATGTTGATTTGTTACTTAGGGAACGTTATGGCCAGAAAAAATGTGCTGTTTCCGGGATATATCTACATTTAAGTTTTGAACGAGTGCAGCTGCGAGCGAAAGCTTGATAGCTATATGTATCTTGTGACCATTACCTACTAACAGCTAATACCTCGTTGAAAAAAAAAATCTATATGTACAATTTTACATATGGACCTACCTATACTTACGGTTTTATTGGATCTCGTAACAGATGTAACATACCTTTAAATTGCTTGATTTTTGTCACTGTCTGTGGTCAAAAGCTAATTCACATTTATATAAGTAAGTCAATAAAAAATCATTGATAAATAAAAATCAATTCGTATTAAAAACAGTCAGGATGTTTTTTTTTTCCATCAGCCTGTCGCCTTTATTACCGAACCAAGTCAGGGAACATAACTATCCTGGTCAACATCACATAACAGACTTACAATAAATAACGATACCATAATATAAATACATACTCAAACTTAAAAGATCTAAAACATATATGATGTTGATTTGTTACTTAGGGAACGTTATGGCCAGAAAAAATGTGCTGTTCAGGGATATATCTACATTTAAGTTTTGAACGAGTGCAGCTGCGAGCGAAAGCTTGATAGCTATATGTATCTTGTGACCATTACCTACTAACAGCTAATACCTCGTTTGAAAAAAAAATCTATATGTACAATTTTACATATGGACCTACCTATACTTACGGTTTTATTGGATCTCGTAACAGATGTAACATACCTTTAAATTGCTTGATTTTTGTCACTGTCTGTGGTCAAAAGCTAATTCACATTTATATAAGTAAGTTAATAAAAAATCATTGATAAATAAAAATCAATTCGTATTAAAAACAGTCAGGATGTTTTTTTTTCCATCAGCCTGTCGCCTTTATTACCGAACCAAGTCAGGGAACATAACTATCCTGGTCAACATCACATAACAGACTTAAAATAAATAACGATACCATAATATAAATACATACTCAAACTTAAAAGATCTAAAAAATATATGTAATCGTACAAGGACGTAAAGCGAAATGCCACCAATTTTCTTAAAAGCTTTCGCACACAGGACAAAGTTAGGGATATTATTTTATACGGCTCCAATGATTTGACAGAAGCTTGGCATTCAAGATACGCGATACAAGATTATAATGTCCGTCTTTATTCATATTACTGTAGTTTCAGATGAATGAAATCGTATTAAATTATCTTACCATAGCAATCAAATAAGTCAATATATAAGTGGGTCAAATATAATCAAAATAAAAGTGGGTTCTTATTTTATAATTCATGAAGTTTAAATAATAAAGAAAATCATAAATAATAGTAAATAAATTGTTTATTTAAACAATATTTGACTCATTTGGTTAGTAACAATAAATTTTCTGACAAACTATGTTAATCTATACTTATTACCTACATCACGTATGTATGTCAATATTTACTAACCACAGAGGTAGAAAGCTTGCATCAGCCATTCACACACAGTCGAGGCTGGTAGCAATGCCGTGTGAAATATTGTTGGGGCTGGCCACCAACACTGGCTAGTATCAGGAATGCACATGTCTTACGCAACATGGTATAAAAACAGTCCGATCCGATATCCGAAGGACATTGTATGCATTGAATGTGCAATAACCTCGATAAAAATTTATTTTTAAGTGATAAGAACAACGTGCAAGCCTTTGAGCTATCATGCGCAAATTACAGTGCTCTTCGCTTCTTTTCTATATCTTCATCGACCCGAGAACTTGTCTCTAGGCATCACAGTTGTCACATGCTTCACTTCTCTGGCTGTGTATTTGATTCCTCATTTCCTAGGTCATAACAATCAACGATAACCGGCACCGAAAATTCGGGGCTTAGTGGTGATGTTACTCTGAATTTCTAAAATAATCCTTAAAGAGGTCTTGCAATACTTAAAGGTCTACTTATACCGTTCATAAACAGAGGAAGGCCAGGCCCAGCGTTAAACTTGTGAAGGAACGGGTGTCATGTCCCTCCAGCACAAAGGGAGGATCCTCCGACCAAGCGAGGTGATCATGCCTGGTCGGCGTGACCCAGCGGTTGATGTTGGGAAGTAGTATTTGCTAATCAGGGAGAGAGAGGTTCAGGGAGCTTTTTCATATCGCGATACAGGATTAGCAATCCTCATTCAGGAATTACTTCGCAGTTCAGTGTGTCTTCGTTAGATGGCGCTGTAGTATGTTTCTGTTTCTTTGTATGTGGGAGTCGCCACAAACTTGTTTGTATGTTTCCAGAAGGACTGTGATTTGTTTTTGTATCTGAATAGTGTAAGTCACTTGTGCCATATTTGTCCACATCAAAAACAATTACTTAGCAAAAAGTAATCGGTCAAATAACGCAATAACAATTGTGACAATAATTAGAATGTAAGCATCGGGAGGACAATATTGATCTAATTAATGAATGCCGTAAAAGAAGTGTATGGATTCTTTAGTGAATTAAAAAATCAAGTAAAATTAACAAAAAAATATATTTTCAATGAATGAAAATAATATTCAGTAGCAATTAAAAGAAAACATTACTATACCTCGAACTTCAATACTGATGACTACAGCGGGTAAGTAAATAAATCTTCACATTTCCCTCTTTTACTTTATTGAATTTTATTGCTACATCTAAACTACATCACATTGATTCTTCAGATAGGACTAACTAAGGATGTTTTCTCATTAAAAAAAGTACTGGATATAAAGTTCATCTAAAGTAATTCAAAACTGTGAGAACTGAAAATTTGTAATTAATTTAATTTCAAGAGAATCATCAATCAATATTACTACCGCAATCTTAGCCATTACACCTGGCAACACAGCACCACAACCAATAAATTGTCAATACCAACAATTTTGTCAAATAAAAACAAAATTCCAAAATTCTCACTAGTTGTGTACCACTTTAACCGTTTCTAACAAAAAAAAATTAAGTGACAAAAAAATAAGAACAGAAACTAATAAAGCAAACATTTGAGATGTCCCAAAGTGAAATTCTTTATGTGAAGGGGATGAATTTGGTAAGGGAATAAAATTACTTTGAAAAGCTTTATTTTGTTGTCATAGATATTGGTTGTGAAGTTTTTTTTTTCTCGTAGTCGGAGTCTGAGGAAGAAGAAAACTTGGAGTCTGCATGGGACGACAGGAAGCTTAACGATGCGTACGATAAAGCGTTAAAGATAGCCAACGCAGAAGTAGCAAAGCGGGTAGCCATGTCTACCAATACGCAAAATGGTGGTAAAGAAGGTAGGTTAAAAAAGTGGTTTGCTAGCCAAATATTTTTCCTTATAAATGCAGGGACATTTAGCATATCTTAAATCTGTGATAGTTCAACCATTATAACCTTTATATCTGGTATCTTTATGACAAATAGGTAGGTAGTTAAAATATGTTTAAGAATAATTAAAACATGTGTTACCTCAACTTATCAACAGCCTTTAATAGTCCACAGCTGAACATATGCCTCTCCTTAGAAAAGAGATTTTGGAACACTATACCACGCTGGCCAGATGAGTTGGAAAAGGGCAAACAAATTTCAAGTTTTCCTTCTCTTTACAGTGCTGTTGTCTGCATAGTTTGATCCCATAGTCTCTTATGACACCCACAGGATGAATAGAGGTGGCCGTATTCTTAATCCATCACCACACTGACATTACCTCAACTATTTGTTGTTAAATTCCTTTATTCAAAAAGCCTACCCAGACATACTGTACTTGCACAGTTTTACTTAACTTTGTTTACGGACTAAACAAAAAAGACGCCTCTGTGGTTTGTTTCAACGCTGCTGCTGCCTCCCTCTAGCTGTAAAGTCTGACTTGTAAAAATATCTGAAAAGATTTACTTACAGAAATAAATATAACTTATCATTATTTACTCCTGCAATATAGTGTAAGCTACTTTCATTAATGTAGATGTGTTACTCACTATAAAGTCTACTTGTTTGCACCCATGTCAGTTTAAAGAATAGATTCTGCATTTGTAAGTTAATGCTTTATATTCCCATAAATTATGTCACATGTTGACGAAGCATGATAGAAAGGGTGGCAGGAGTGCAGGAGTCGTAAGTTTCATGACATGACATTTCAAAACCTAATGTACCAAATTGTAATTGTAAAGTTTGTTGTAAATTGTGAAAATATTTGGCTTCATACCAGGGAGGGGGGAGTCCTACAACTATAACCGCATGCAACTTGTGACAAGGATGGGGGTAAAAAAATATGAAATATAGTTGGTAGAATGCAACTAAGAAAAAACGATATAATTAGTAATAAGTAATATTAGTAATTATTAATAATAATATAATTAATTAAAATTGGTTCAGCTGTGAAAGCATAACAGACAATTATTTTCGCATTTATAATATTAGTAGGGAAATAGGATTAAACAGTAAATTGTCAGGCATAAGGAAACTCATTGAGTCTTAAGCATTTGACTGTATCTCTTTAAATTTGTATATTTAAATATTGACAGATACTGCTAAAAATAAAAAGGAGAAGAAATCATCCCAGAATACCTCTACAAAGAAGAAACATCTGTGGAGAGCTGGTCTGCCGTGTCGTTCCGTATATGAAGGTGATGGTTTGGAGTATGAAGCATTTATTTTGAGGATGATCAATAATGAAGAGTGTGTTGTCAGATATTTGGGTAAGATTTATTTTTAATGTATTTTATTTATTAAGTATTAATAATAATCACTTTTTCATTTACTTTTCTGCAACTAACATGCTGTGTTGTTATTGTAATCTTATGTGATAAACAAATTATTATTCTGAGTCTAGGTGTTTTTCGTGTCAGATTCATGTATGCTTGTTAAGTCCCCCACGGAATTCCTAGTGTGGGAGTTGTCTTTTAAGAAAAAAAAAACCTTTTTTATATGAATTATTTCCATTTCATCATAGTAGTGTTGTTCTGCACAATATCATACAGATTTAGCTGTACTTAAGGTCAAAATTCTCGTAATAAAAATTCGTTCAAAATGCAGTTCTGATCTACTATTGATGTCACATATGTCATATAAGGTATTCTCATATTAAAGTATTAGATAAGCAGCATATAAAATCAACTTTCGGTCACAATACAATATAATTGCATTACTGTCAGGAAAACTTGAAACAAACCCTATACCAACCCGTCTGGCCAGCATGGTATAGTAGGCCAAAACCTCCTTTCTAAGGAGAGGCCTATGTCCAGCAGTGGACTAGTATAGGCTGTTGATGACTGTCAAAGTACTTTAATACAAGATCAAGAGTAAATTAGAAGTTAATTTCGAATTTTTATTACAAAAATAGGCCTCGTCCAAATCTAACTGCTAACGCATACCAGACTAAGTTTTTAGTTGAAAAGATACTAAACCTACAAATATATGTCAAAAACCATTAATTGTCTACTTGATTTGCAATGCAAAGCCAACCTCCTTTGTGAAATGGCTTTAAGCAGCCTAACCCATTTACACATTACTTATTGGGTAGTAAACTAAGGTGAGAGATGTGCTTTCGACACCAATTACTTGATATAAGACAAAGTATTTCTAATTATCTGTGTGCAGAGTTAATTAGCATTGCACATCACATAATATAGAAATTTACAATTAACTATCAATTGTTTATATTTCAGTTTCATGTTGAATTTGTACACATTTAACTGTTCTTTGCCTTTTAGTAATCGAAATCTTACTAGTTTGACTCTTTTGGAGTGGAGTGAAATGTAAGTTGATAGAGAGAAAGAGAGATCAGCTCATTGTCAAAACTGCTTATCTCTAAAGCACTTCCACACCTAGATTAGATATAGTGTTTTCAAAGTTGTTATAACTTGAAATTGTTATCAACATTTAGTAATTAATAATTTAACATACTTGTATTGAATACTTGTATTGTCATTTTTTAAAGAATTAAATATTTTTTCTTTAATTTAACCAGAGAATCATGAAATACAAAGTATTTTGATAGAACATTTCTTTAATAATACCTAATAAACACTTGGTTAAGACGAATTAGGAGATAATTCTGTTCTACTCCCAAAATTTGTAAATCTATTTGCTACTTCAGGTTACGAAAATTCAGAAATAGTACCAATCAGTTCCTTGAAGCCCACCCATGGTAACGACGAAAGAACTAAACAAATTGAACAGGCACTGCGTGAGAAGGTCGACGACGGGTTCGGAAGCCAGTCACCCAATCCTGGTGAAGATATGGAAGCTAGTGATCGTGTACCGAGTCCTGATAGTATAGGTATGTTATAATATTCGTTAGATTTTTTAGAACTGGTTTTCAACTTGCTTACCATCCTACCCATCCCATAAAAGTCAGTAAAAATTCACGCAGACATTCCACGAAAGTTGCAACGGAACTCCTTTGTGATCGTCATAGACAGTGTAAGATGTATTTTTAACAGTTATTTATTTAACATTACTGTTTTATTTGATTGGCCTAATAGTTTATTAGTTAGCGCTCCTGACTGTTACACCCAGAGGTAGTGGGTTTGATTCCCATCCAGGACTATTTGATTGTGTGATAATCATGATCAGTTGTTCTGTGTGTAGATGTAATTTATCTATAAGACTAGCTGACTCGCGGCTTTTTTAAAAGGAATAAATTTTCCCCGTTTTGCAACATTCTTCATTGGTATTCATCATTCAAACAACATCTTCATTGGTCCGCTCCTATTGGTCTTGGCGTGATTATATATAGCCTATATTCCTCAATAAATGGGCTGTCTAACACTGAAAGAATTTTTCAAATTGGAAAAGTAGTTCCTGAGATTAGCGCATTCAAGCAAACAAACAAACAAACTCTTCAGCTTTATAATATTATTATCTTACTAGCTTTTCAATGCTTGCGTTAAAGCAACTTAAGTAAAGAGATATGCAAAGGTGTATTTATTTGAATGTCATATGTTCTTATTTCCAGATCAAGCATCGTTCCAGAAGAAAAAGCGTTCGTACAAAAAGAAGAACAGTAACAGCAGGAACAACTTCGAACTTCCAGGGATGCCTGTGATGCCCAACATTTCTATGCTGAGAAATGTACGTAGTTACTATGAGTTAAATGTACACCAACGACAACAACTGTTTTTTCTAAAGGACATTGAAGATTCTCATAAGAATCTATTCTAAACACAACAATATACCTTAAAAGTCATTAGATCTTTTTTTCTAGAAGCAATTTTGGTTTAAAGGACAAACAAACAGATGAGTCACCTGAAGGCCTTCTCGTAATAAAAGTTCGTTCACAATTCAGTTCCGTTCAACTCGCGTTCTCACAACTGTTATAAAAGGTATTTTCGTAGTTAAGTATTAAACGTCGCATCGTTAACTGTAATGGAATTATATCGTATTCTAACCAAAAATTGAATCGGTAATCGACTGCACGGATGGCGTAGTTGTTTAAGTGGTCGCCATGCCGTTTTCTACTGCGCCTAGTGTTGTGGGTTCAAACCCCACATGGGACGACACTTTGTGTGATCCACAAATTGTTGTTCTGAGTCTGGGTGTTCTTTGTGTCCGTTTCATGTTCGTGTGTATGTTTGTAAAGTCCCCCGCGACACAGGATATATTCCTAATGCGGGAGTTCTTTGAAAAAAAAAATCTGCTAGTCTTAGTAATACTTTACCAGCAAAATACCTTTTATGACAGTTGCGAGATTGAGAGTTGATCGGAGTTTTGGGGCCCCGTTTGCCTCACTCTGTGAAGTGTGGCGGCCTCCACATACAAACGACGTACTTGACGGCTTTACCACTTTGAAACCATCATCACCCTTATTTTCTGTATATAAGAGTGCAGTGGCCACCGGGACAGGCACATAGACATTAGCTTTTGATAACGAGGCGCTATACCTCTGTAAATAGCTTCAGAGTTTTTTAATTACGATGCGTCTATATCTATTTATTTATTTATTATAATAAGTACAACCACATTGTATATATTACACAATTCACGCTACATTCAGTTGATGGTAATTATTCTGATATATACAACAATTACGGTGTACATAACAATATCAGTACAGTGAGATAAAATATGGATCCAATGGAACAGTTACTAGAAATTTTGTTTAAAAAAGAAACACTAAAAATAGCAGCAATAGCAAATAAAAAAAAAGATGATTACTAAATATAAATATTGATAACTTCCACTGGTTTTCATTCGCTGCGATGTGGAATGACCAAATCCAGTAACATCAGTACCCCTCGAGAGCAATATTTTTTTTGATAAGTTGATTAGTTACCTCGTAAAAGAACGAAAGTAACTTTTCCTCTATTCGTCTATTATATCACTTAAAATTAGTTAGGTGCCTCGGAGAGCACGTTGAGCCGTCGGTCCCAGTTGCCATACGTTATCGGTGGCAATCGTTACGGGTAATAAGAGCCCTAAAAAGAACTATAGAACTTCGATATCGCCTATTACTTGGGTTGTGAAAGTCTGGTTGAAGTCGTACTAGAAAATAGTAAATAGTCGTAAATAGAAGTTCAGTCATATCCTAGTAGAGCTAAAGCCGACCCCACCTAATTTATTAAATGTTAAAGTAATAAATTTATGTTAATCCCTAAATAATAATAATAGCCTGATTCCCTCAACGCCTCCGTGAAGTACATGTTTTACAAAATTTGAAGCGTTGTGAGCTGTTTTGCCGCTCCATAAGCGTATTCGGTCTTTGAGCGTAACATGTACACTCATGCCCCTTTTCCACGAACGGTTTGTCGACTGTAATTTCTTAAACTCTTCACAAAATGTGTTCTTTCAGATTGGATCGCTGGAGATGCCGATGCCTCCGCCCCCGATGACGTTCACATCGAGCGACAAAACCGAATCCGAGGAGCAAGCCATATCATCCATGTTGCTCAGCTGGTACATGAGCGGCTACTACACTGGGCTCTATCAAGGACTCAAAAGGTAATTACATTAAAATAGAGCGGATAAATGTTCGTGTGGTGACGGATTAAGAATACGGAGTGTCACCACCCCTATTCATCCCGTGGGTGTCGTAAGAGACGACTAAGGGAGCAAAATCGCAGGACAACAGCACTACAAAGAGAAGGAAAACTTGAAACAAACACTAAACCAACTCGTCTGGCCAGTGTGGTACAGTACCTAGGCCAAAATCTCCTTTTTAAGGAGAGGCCTGTGTCTAGCAGTGGACAGAGTAAAAGCTGTTGATGTGATTTATACTTCCTGCAAATACATTGCATAAGGCGGACTTAATGCCATAGGCATTTTCTTCCAGTCAACCTTGGTGTGATGTGGCAGTTGAATATTACCCTTATTCTTTGTAACTTCTTCAGACGGCTGGTACCAATGTTAGAGTGATCGCTTCAATACTATTCCTCGCCTAATGTTGTGGATTTAATTCCCACCCGGAACAAAATTGATAAAATGTTTATCTCGAGAGCTGTACCTAGTCTGGGTGTTCAGTCGAGACTTAGACTGAACAGTGCGAGAGTGTTTTTTTTACGTAATTTGTTATTATTGAGTAAGGAGTGGCTTCATAAGTGAGAAACTGCCAAGCAAATAACTAAGGAGCACCCTTTTCCTTGCATCCCTCCAGTTGTATATAATATATGTAAACTAAAAAATGTAGTATTTTACAACATTGCCTAGTACATTACTAAAATATAGTTAGTAAATGACTTTGACGTTAACTTTAGTTGACATCATCTACTATAAGAAGATAGTAGGTTATCAAACTATAGATAATACTAAAATTCTCTTTTTATTTCAATTTCAGGTCGAAGGAGAATCGCAATAATGTTTAAGAGACAAGTATGTTATTTTATATTTTCCCCTTTAAGTTATATAATACCAGCTTATGCTCCGGCTTTGGTTGCGTTACCAACTTTTTGCCGGTTTAAACAGTAAAAATCAGATAAAAAAAAATTTAGTTAATTTATAGTCCATCGAAAAACCTAATGATGTCATTTTTGCCTGTCACTTATGTGGATAAGTGACAGGCAAAAATGACATCATTAGGTTTCCAACCAGGTCACTTAGGTCACCAACAGCCTATAACAGTCCACGGCCAAAACCTCCTTTCTAAGGAGAGGCCTATGTCCATAGGCCTCTCCTTAGAAAGGAGGTTTTGGCCTACTATCTGTCACTTATACTTAATTTCATTTGAATTAATGGCAACACTCGCTTAGCTTTTAGTAATGTCACATTCAAAACAAACGGAACTACAGAATAGAAATAACATATTCTTTCCTATCTGTTATCTTCTTTCTTTTTCTCATTTGAGAATGGTTACATTTTCAAGATGGAATTGGCCGGTAATAAGAGAAACCACCCAAAGTCCCTTTGCAATTGTACCGTATATAAAATTGTGATACATATCATACACATATCGTTATTATTATTTCACTGGATACTTTAACAACCTTTTTTTTTTTTCCATCCTCTTTCTGTTCTCTTTATTTATTTTTTCTATTATGTTCGTAAAGTATAATTTTTTTACTCCAGGTGAAAAGAGAACGCAGGGATGTTCAAGAAAAAAAAATGTAAGTTAATTTTAAAGGAAAAATAAATCAAATTTTATCTTTTTAAATGTGTTTTATTATTTTTAGTCTCACATAAAATGAACTATAATAATATAGAAAATAATAATCAGATAAAAATAAATAAATTTATGCCTCCTGATTTATGTGTAACGCTATGTACAAATATACATTTTGGGACTATGATTTATTTTGAGTATGTATTTTTCTATTATTGTCGAATTGGTGGGTTTTATTAGTAACACTTAAATTAACTTTGAACTCTTTTAAATATTATGAAAAAACATTTCAAAGAAAAAACTGAGTATTAAGTATTTAACTAACCGTTTAAGCTTGAAAGGTTTAATGAAAAATAAATTATAATAAACCAATTATCAAAATACACTACTTCAGATGTATTACAAATATTTCTAGTAAATTTCCACTAGTCCACATATCTATTTATTGGATATGGCAAGCTTTTTATTTTTTTAGTTTTTGAAATTCGAACATTGTTTTATTGTCTTATCTTAATAGCTACACAGCATTCTATTTTTTAAATTTCAGTTTAGATAAAATTATTACATTAGATTGATTCTATAATATCTAGTTAAAGTAAAACATGGCAATTTAACATAAACTAAATAAACAATATTTACAGTTACCACAATATACAAAAAGATTGTTATTATGCATATAGCCTTTTCAGTTAGGTGAAACGCGTGCTAAAAGACTGGTTTGTTCGTCATGAATCTTATTACTTGCCCATTCTACTACATATATGTATACATTCGTTTTTTTTAATCTGTTCAAATTGATAACATGTTCCTTTGTAAATTTACGCTTTAAAACTTGACTACTCATTACTTCGTTTTTTTTGTTCCATTTTGAAATTTCTGCGTACATATCAAGGTTCGGGAACTTGGCTATAATCACTGTAGTCTATTCGCTTTAAGAAAATAGTAACATCGATAAAGTCCCGTACCCTGATCAGGTTCCAAGCTTTCGTACGAAACGAACTTGGAACCTTATTAGTCAGGGGTGTTGTTTGATCGATACGTCACTATTTTCTTAACGCGAATAGACTATAATTGCTTCCTTCGCTGTAAAATCCAGGACGAACAAGACCTTTATTATAAATTGATTCATAACAATCATACAGTTCACGCACATTCCCACCTTTGGGATAAACAGGCACACCATCGAAATCTAACAAAGTCGTATCAATGCGTCTTTAAATTCGTTGTAAGGGGGCTTCTACACGATGCAAGTATTTTGCGCAGGCTGACGCGGTCTAGTGTGTCTAGCGACGCGCGCGAACAACATTATACCAACTAAACGTGTAAGTAACTTGTTCATGCTACTGACGCACTCTTTGCCCACTCCAGCTACTTGCACCATGTAGAATCACCCTAAAGCAAGCCTAGCGCTTCTCTGGGTCTGTCTATAGCGTATTTCCGTCTCATAATCATATATAGCTTATGTCCTTATGTTTCAAAGCCAGTCCTTAAATATAATTCCCACTAATGGTGAGAATCTAAGGATGTTTTTATTCAATGATCAAATTTTGAGGACATAAGAATGTAAATGTTTAGGTAATAACATGATGTTAATAAATTAAATTCACATTAAGAGTAAGTTAGATTAACTAGAAATACAAAAAAATATATTTCATATATATTTTTATGTAGTTAAGTTGCCTGTAAATATATTTATAATATTCCCTTTATATTTATTACACAAAGAAATAATTTTTGTTATTGTCTCTTCGAAGGTTTGTTTGAAATAATCAAGAGACTTAATATGTATAATATACTGAGTATAGTAGCGGTTTGAATGCAAATCTCAAGAAAGCGCTAGTATAGGATACTGTGAGCGAATAAGTCGGCATTTGCGGGGGGCGGGGGGAGATGCTCCCGTCCCTCACCTCAGGCCCCGACTGCATTTAACTCGCGCACGTTCTATAACTAACTCTTATGTGAGTAATGTCAATTCAGTTTATAAATAACGATTAATATATCATATGTCACGTCATTCTAGCATGTTGAGCTTACAAAAACGATAAAGATAATATGTAGATAGAGGTGAGAAGCGAGCTACGATCCGGGGGCGTTGGGAGAAAGAAAAAGAAATCTGTTTGCCCGAAGTGGTGGCCGTCTTCTTTCTCCTTCTACTGACGTCGCTGTTCCACTTGCAGGCAATCCAATACCTTCTACCCTCTATCTGTATTATCTCATTGAACGAAAACACGTTACTGATAATATGTAATTGATCTTGTCACGTCGCTTAGAATGTACGCCGTCAGACTAGCGTGCTCAGTTCGTGTGTGTCGTGGCTTAGGTCGATGGTCGCTGCTGGGACCCCGGGGGTAGCGGCGCCTTCTCCTGGTGGGGTGCTCGTTGGAGGCCTGGAATTGTGTGGATATCAGATTATTTTTAAGTTTGATCCTAAATATATATTTGCGGATCAATTGCGGAATGAAAAAAACAATTACGTAGGTGAAAAAAAAACTTTTCAAAGGTAAACGGAATTGCAAGTGATTTTTATTATTTTCATAGGGATTGATTACGAGAGCGAATTTTTAAATATGAGAATCGAATTGGAATCGAGTTTTTGAAATATATTATAGTCAACTTACCTTATAATATAAGGACCTCCTTGTTGCAATAACGTAATAGGATGCGAATAGGGAACTGTATTACCCGCCATGCTATGAAAACTTAAATTCCCCATGCCAGTACTATTCAAATGTCCGTTTCCTATAAGTACTCCGTTCGACGCATTTAGATTAGGCGGGGAGCTGCTCGTGTTTGGGTCTTGTGTCCGGAACGCCTTGACTAAGTTCGTCTTCTCTTTCTGCCACACGAACACGTTGTGAACCATGGCACAGCCGCAGAAGATGATGCCCACTCCTATGAACACAGAGGTCACTATTGCAGGAGTTGAGTGGAACTGGATGAACGTGTAGAGGATTATTCCTGTAATAGAAAATGTTTTACATTAAGCATTTTAATTTAATTAATTGGTAAATTAGTGAGTACTTCTATAGCACACAAAAACAAAAATACAGAAATAAATCACAATCATTGTACTGGGTTAATCGAAAGCCGGTGTTTCTTATTTGGCTGACCTGACTCTGGCTGTGACCAAATAACTAGAAACCAAACCAACAATATTAGAAAATAAAATTAAGTTTAGATTAATAATAAAATTATTTTGCCAGCAAAAAAGTATTTTGAATAACAATAGTATTGACCAGACTGCTGATAAACATCCAAATTAATATTAAAATGCGAAAGTGTGTATGTCTGTCTGTTACCTTTTCACGGTTAAGCCGCTGAACCGATTTAGATTTAATTTGATATAGAGATAGTTCAAATCACGAGAAATGACATAGGATAGTTTTTCTCCTAGATCACATCCTTTAACATAACATACGGAGCTGCGGGCAAAAGCTGGTACTTATATATTTCTAAATTCATACCTACATATTATAGATAAATTACATCCAGACAATAAATGGTCGTGCTCCTCACACAATTACTTGTCCTGAGTGGGAATCGAACCCAAAAAAGAAAGAGACCATCTTCCGTTTCAGTGTTTGCTCAGATATCCCCAAAATCCACACGCTAGTAAAACCCTATGTCTCCGTATTCCGCCAATTCTTCCCTATGTGTTAATAGACTGGCTTTCCAGCTTTGAAATGGTGTTAATGTGAACTATATTTTTACCATATTATTTAGTAATACTGACCTGTTAAAAATACCGGTATTGATATAAAGAAGCCCCCAACGGCACAGACCCGTGTTATCGCCGACTTCTGCAAATATTTGTTGGATCTGAAATGAAATGAAAATTGTTTTTGAGTTCAACATGTCAGAGAACTATTATAACATAATGTGAATTAGGTAATAATGGTAATGGTGGTTATGAAATTTATATTTTGACAGGCAGATTTATATTATGCTTAATCAGCCAGCCTAATCAACTTCAAGGCATAGCAAAAATAATCATAACGCGCTTAAGTTTTTATTGACGTCAAATGTTAGGACAGGTGTTTTAATTTACTCTATGGTTTGTATGGGAATAAAATAGTTGTTTTTACTATTTTCCTTGGAATTTTTCTCTCCATAAGAACCTTCCTTGTGCCTTAACGAAAATATGAAAAAAAGTAACCGAATTGGTCAAGCCTTTCTCGAGTTTTGAACTTAGCAACACAATTGGCGATTCACTGTTGTTTTGAGAGATTCAAGAGACAAAAACTATTTCGCGACAACACTTTGTGTCCTTCTGTTAACTTACTAACTCTCTGGTAACTCTTATGTTGTAAGTTCGATGGCAATATTTACCAAATCAAGTGGCTTTGAGAGGAATTCATTTGATGAATTTTATACGGGGAGAAACATTTTATGTAAAGCTTTTCAAGGGCATAAGCACAAAACAAGTTAATCTGTCGAAATTATTGGTACGACTAGGTGGATACTTAATACTTTTTAAATTTTAATTGAGTATGTGTGGCAATTCATACATTTAAAAAGTATCAATGCAACTGTGTCCTACTTTCTTATTTAAATTAGCTTAATATAGTCAGTCAAATATAAATGAAACCAAAAAAGTGCTTTAATTGCAACACACAATCGATTCTGTAATTTAAGATCTCGATTCTTAATCGGAACATGTTGGCACCGACAATGTAACGGACCTACACCTGTTTATCGAGTATAATCCGGAAGAATTAAGAAGGTGACATCGTAGTCTAAAGCTTATTTATACGAGTTGATTATAAACTATTTAGGAATGCTTGAATTGCCATTAACATTATGACTAGAGTGGTCGTCTCGCCATTTGGTCGTACCACGTCTTGGGAATTCGAATCTCACACAAGACAAAAAATTGTGATACAATTTATTTCTAGTTTGGGAGATGTTTTTCGTAAAAATAAAAGCACAAGGTATCCCGATTTAGTACTTGATGTTAAATTGTCACTGTTTCCTTAGATTTTTCTCCTCATCTAAAATTAATTTGGTTATATAACTTTGAGATTAGTATAAAGAACTCTCAGGTACCTACAGTAATTATAATAACCTGGTGGAGGAACGGGTGTCATGTCCCTCAAACACAAAGGGAGGATCCTCCGACCAGGCGAGGTAATCATGCTTGGAGGGCCGCGGCCCAATGGTTGATGTTGGGAAGTTATATATATGCTAATCGGCGAGAGAATTCCTCATATCGCGATACAGGATTAGCAATTCTCATTCAGGAGTTACTCCGTAGTTCAGTGTGTCTTCGTTAGATGGCGCTGTAATATATTTCTTTGTTTCACCGTATGTGGTAGTCGCCACAACCTCAAGATATAATAGTCTTATAAAAAGACAAGTTACAGAGACTTAGCTACACTAGGAGTTTTCGTAATGTTGTATTAACCTATTTAAATTTGTAGTCTGTCTGAACAATATTCAGCATTCAATAATAAAGGCATATACTTACTCTAAATAACTAAATTAATAACTGAAAAGGCTCATAAGAGAGAGTCAAAACTAATATGATCACGATTACTAAACGACTAACAGAAATAAACGTTTATTGACGTAGATACTAGTAAAATTACTATGACAAGGTCATAAACAACCGGAACAATAAAGGACAACCGTCATAAACTGTACAACCTACCCTACTGATGCCCAAGTGGATAACGGAAGTTCCGACCTATCTTTTGCCAATTATAATATATAGGTTCCCATGGTTACGACAACGAATCAATACAAGGAGCAATGTGTCTCTGTTTCGTTTTTTTTTGGGGACTAAAGCAATATACTTACTTATTCGAAAGCGCCCCAAATAATGAAATTATTAGTCCATCTCTCTCTATCGAGTTAAAGCGCGTAAAAGACCATAGAGCAGATGTTGTAATTTTTTCATTGTAGTAACACACTAGCGATCATTAATCAGTTTTAAAATTCGAACAATTAAGACTAATAAAATTTTGTCATACACATATGTATATTTCTAGCTTTAGACATTAAACAGTAGAAAAAAATACTGACAGCCAGAAGAAGAGATACAGAGAGATCATAGCAACAATTGATTGCTTATAGTCAAACCTAAAATTATTAAAAAGAAAGGATAACAAATACTTAAAACCGTATGTCCTTGTGTAGATCTATATATAATAGCCCGAGCTTGAGATAAAAATTGGTCGAACCAATTCATGGTCAGTCTCATCACCACATAGTTAGAAAAACAATTAGTAAGTAAATTGCAGCACTGTGTGCATACCAGCATACACCTACTTAGTTGTTGTGCGCTATTAGGTATGTTATTAAGATTAAAATTAAATAAACTAAACTAATAAAGACATGGTAGTTTTTTAAATTGCGCTGGCGCTGGCGCTAAAAAAATCTGGCGCGTAATCATAGTAATAAGACGCAGTGGTTTTGTAAATTAGTCACAGGTGTGATTATATGAAATAAACCCTTGAGGCATAGTTTTATTGTAAACATGATTGCAAATAGTTATAGTTATCTTGTTTAAATAGCTGTTATAGTCATCTTTTTTAAATCCGATATAAAGTACGAATACATTTCAATTTGGTCGGGTTATTTGCTGCATGCCACTGACACTGCAATAGTCGTCGGAAACGACTATTACGACCATTGATTACAACATCATAACTGTTAGCGAAACATAAACACCGTTTGAGTTCGAATAAACCTTAGTAAATAACATTCTGGCAGGAATAATGCTTACATCAGTGTTATCGCGCCCTGGATTATAACTGGCAGCAAAATTGTTTTTTTTTTTATCAAAAGCTGTCACAACACTCGAGTACGGCTGTAATTTGAAAAGTGAAAGTTATTTATCAGGGACTTGGATACAATTAAAAGCTTAATTAGGTTTCATTATATTTAGCTGTAAACCTTCCTTGAATAATTATGTAACAGATGGTGGGAACCGCAAACCGCGTCAAAAACCGTTGTGTGTTTTACGAGGAGTTAGCGGATTCACAGACAGACGCGTTAAACATGTAAATAAGATCAACACCTCAGTATAGAAATTAAGAATAAAAAATAAAAAAAAACATTAATTATGTCTATTTATAAAAACATCATCATGATTGTTCCATAATCACTCTCGGTTATTCAATTATTATTTCAGTGATTCTCGGTACAGACGTTATCCGCCCATATATATGTATCCTATTAAAATACGAAGTAAGATTAAAAAAGGAACTGTTTAACTGTCTGGTGATAAGTAAAGAAAGAGACTATTGATTTGATAATCGCATAGCTGAAAATTCATATGGGTGTATTTAAAATAAGACTGTGACATAATCTTCTTAAAGTCTTATTTTTTATTTTTCATTCTTTAGTTTTCCATCCTTCTGGTGGTATTTTTTTCTCCGAAATTGAATGAAACCAAAGCAAATAGGACTTCAAACCCTTTTAAATTAAACAAGAATTTTCCAAATCAGTCCACGGTAAATAACGGAATTATGAGACAGAAACCAATTGGAGATCCTCCTTTTTTTAAGTCGTTTAATATAAACAATACGGTACAATGCAGTGCTAGGGCAGAAGTTAAATCAATAACAAACCTGTCCATTTATTCAGCACGCACAACGACGGTTACAAATTTATCGATGGCAGATGGTTCCCAACGGTTTTTCTATACCTGACAACAGTGCCAACGGTACTCCACGCATCGCTGGTTCCAGGGAAGATTCCAATAATGAAATGGGGGCGTTAGTATTACTGCGATATTAGGGAGACTTGACAAAGGAGCTGTTGTTGTTTAATGCACAAAATTCCTGTCGAAAATCTGAAAAGTTTACGGCAAATTAACCCATATTTACTGTAGTTTTAAATATAATTTCGAGCAGCTAAAATAATATTGTAAAACCATATCCCTTTAAAACTTTCCAACGTAAATGATAGCGGCCTGATGCCATCTACTGTATAAACTTAAGATTAAATGAATACCTAATTTGATTTGTTTGCTGTTGTTGTTGTACCTAATAGTTATACTTATCAGTATCAAAGTGGTTTATTTGTCACATAAAATAATAACTGATTGCACGGATGGCGTATTGGTTTAAGCGGTCGCCACGCTGCTTACTATTACGGTGAGCGTTGTGGGTCCGGGTGACCAAGTCTGGGTGTTCTTTAGGTTTTCACGTGTGTTTGTCACGTCCCCCGTGACACAGGGTATATTACTAGCGCGGGAATTGCCTTTAAAAACTTAAAATTTTCTTTCGTAAATTTCTTAAAGAATCAGATTAAATATTGATACAAAATGTATCAAACTATCAAGTAAGCGGGTTAATTACACAAAAATAGGATAAAATTCTTATGAACCGCCTCAAATGTCTGGAAGCATAATTAATCCAAACACATTTCTGCTAAAACGTTCACTTTCTATTCGTTTAAACCTATGGGTTGTATTTCAAAATTCATTAGAATTACGTCCATCTGCGTCTTCTAAATTAGTAATGTACACATGCTGTGCAAGTAATATATCACACTGAAATTATTTAACATAATATTTACCTTACCTACTTTCTGTATTACGGCGATAATAAGTTAGTTTCTCTGCATATTATAACACTTCCTTCATTACGAAATTGTGGTTAAAAATAGTCTAAATGTGTACTAAATAAGCGGGTTTACGTTTTAGAGAATTACTTATTAAAGGTCTTAATCTTATTCATGAGCGTTTCATAAAAGATTTTACTTTGATGGATCATTGCAGATAGACTAAATGTTTACAAAATAGTCCATATTATAGTAGTTAACAGTAGTTTTTTGAAAGGGCTCAGAAACACGGACGTTTCATTTTGAAAAAGTAATACCGATGGATAGTTAAATACCAGACTAGCCTATTGCTTTGCTCGTTAAATGTTCATTAAAATCGCAAATGATTGAGTGAGCCAAAACCAGTACAAATATTTGTATAATGACCACGAAAATTTTTGCTTATCAACAGTCTGACTGTATCTACAAATTGTGTTGTGAACAAAATTAGTTGTTGTAAATATTGGATATTATTTACAAGTATCAAGCATCAATATGCTACAGTCATTGCAGCAATGCATGCGACATCTTGCATGCAGTGCTACGTCGTCAGGTTATGTGAATATCTATTATTATTAGTTTCTCTGACTGAATGACTCATCAAAGCAGAGCCTAAACCGCTCGGGGCTACAAATTTGAAATTTTGGCAGCTGAGGGCCTCATCATCACATCACATCAACAGCATATACTAGTCCACTGCTGGACATAGGCCTCTCCTTAGATAGGAGGTTGTGGCCTACTATACCACGCTGGCCAGACGGGTTGGTATAGGGTTTGTGAAAAGTTTTCCTTCTCTTTGCAGTGCTGTTGTCCTGCTGAGGGCCTAGTGTGAATTAATTTCACGTCTACTCGATTGTAACGGTGACCGCGTTCGCGTTGTGATTGGCTCGCACTGAAATCTTCACCAATCGTAACGTCAAATCCACTCGAGAGCAATTTGATGTGAAATAAACTTGCTCTAAGCACTCTGATGCTTTTTAAGTCGTAAGCCTCACCTAAAATTTAACCTACAATGGGATGAAAGAAGAGATGAATTGTGATAAGGAAATTCATTATTTTCAAGGGTAGAAACACGAAATAATAAATAAACACGCGGGCAATAACTAGTATCTAACATACTTCTAAACATATGGGCACATTAGAACATCTTTGTAAAGACGGATAATAATAATATAATAATATTTTGGACATCTAACATACAATGCCATCTAGTTTCAAAATAAGCAGAGCTTGTACTATGAAAGCTAGATTGACTCATAGGATACTTATATCCTATTTTTGTAAATATATACATATTATACACAGAAAACACCCAAACTCCGAAACAAATATTTGCAGAGCATACAAACATTTGGTCCAACCAGGGCATCGAACCCAAGACCTCAGAACAGCAGTCCATACGCTACCACTGCGCCACCGAAGCAGTCAATATATTACGAATAAAAATAGTAAGTACATATTAAAACCAGAATATTAATTGGCTTACAACTTCTAAGACATTTTGATCGAGTCTTAACATAATAAACTGACTGACAGTGTTTCGTGGGAATATCGGCGATACTAGTAAACAAGAACGGGCTTGTAAAATGGTGGTAACTGGTTTGAACCTGTTATAGAATACGTTAGATAATTCTGTTTAAATACTCCAGTGGGTAATATGTAGCATCGCGTCTGGTTAGATGTTGTCTCAAACGGGTTGAGAGACATACTTTGTACATAAAAACGTTTGTTGTTGAGACAAAACTGTCAGATATAGGTATTATTTATCATGGTTAGTGGTCCTGACCGCTTAGGCAGAGGTCGTGGGTTTGATTCCCACCTAGGACAAATAATTGTGTTATGAGCACGGTCATTTGTAGTGTCTGAGTGTAATCTCTACATATAAAATTAGGTACTTGCCCTGAGTGACAGATCCATCAACGCAGAGAAAAGTTAGGCTACAAATTGGAAAATTTGGCAGCAGAAAGGATTTTTGGAAATTAAACAGCTAATGGGGTAAAATAAGGTGTGGCGACTCCCACATACAAAGAAAAGTAACATACTACAGCGCCATCTAATAAAGACACACCGAACTACGGAGTAACTACTAAAATAAGAATTGCTAATCCTGTATCGCGATATGAAGAATTCCCTCGCCGGAAAAGGACAAAATCACGCTAGCGAAGCCGCTGTCCGTAGCTAATTTATCTATAATATTATATGTATGTACTCGTAGGTGCGTCCGTCCGTGTCCGTGTGGTGACGGATTAAGAATACGGAGTGTCACCATCACCACCCGTAATTCATCCCATTGGTGTCGTAAGAGGCGAATAAGGAAGCAAACTCTGCAGGATAACAGCCCTGCAAAGAGAAGGAAAATTTGAAACAAACCCTTTTTTTTTTAACGTGTGGAAATCCCCTCGGACCGTCACCCCTCCGGGGTTTGCGGCGAGGTGGTGTGTCGGACTCAGACCGACTAAAACCACACGGTGTGCCACTCTGCGCCTGTAACAGGAGGGATCCGGGAACAGCTGTTGTTAAGACATCCGGACCCCTCCTAGCGCCAGCCCGCTCCTGGTGCGGGCTCCGTCTCAGTGTTTTTCCTCTCTTTATAGGCGACGTCCGGCACACGCGGACGCCGCCCCCTCGCGGCTGGCCAAACTAATGCGGGTG